GATTACTGTAAATAATGTAAGGAGTAGAAGTAAAAAGTTGTTGAAAAAATAATTACTCCAGAAAAGTTCTGAGAGGTCCACCTAGCCTTCCGTCAGTCTGCAGATTCTGGTCCATGGCTTGTGTGGCCTTCGTTCATGATGTCTCTTAGATGTAAAACTCTTTTGGAGGAAGGTTCATAAAAAAAGAGAATAAGTATAGTTGGTCTACCATTTAAGATATATCCACAATGGAGATAGTAAAGGGAGTCCGGTTAAAAGAGACTGAAAGTCGGCGAGGTGGTGCCGTGTCGCAAAAAACAATAGGGGGCAGAATTGGATGTCCCTATGGGAGTGTCTGGTGAGAGGCGAACATGCAGTGGATGGAGAGAAGAACATGGCAAAATAATTCTGCTCAATGTTCGAAGAAAACAGGCCTGGACATTGGTCCTCAATGTCCAAATTATTATCATGGCTTATGGCATATCATAATTCATTAATTACATTTTAATAGCAGTTGACCTTGCTCATGAAAACAATCTGCCCTTAGACCAAAAAGTTTTCACCCTTTCATTTATGAATTAAGTGTGAATAACCATGTTTTAAAAACACACACACATTGCGCCCACATCTTATTACTAGAAGACTAGCTGCAATATGACCTCTCTGGCAACAAGAGGAGAACCATAAAGATAAAAAAGCAACACATCATAAAAATCTATATAAATACGTTACAGTTGAGAACCATAGTGTCAAGCATCTATAAAAGTCTGGAAAGGGGATTACAAAGCCATTTTCAAGACTAAGTTTTCATTACACCACAGTGAGAGACATTGACTCTAAACTGAGAAAACATGAAACAGAAGTAACATTGCAACACTGGCTGACCAACAAAACTTTTAAAATAGCCAGCTATCCAAGATATCACAAAAAAACCCAGAGCATCTTTAGCATTATGTCCTTTCTCAGTGAACTTTAAAAGAGATTTAAAATGTAAAATGAAGAAATCGTGTTGTGGAAATATCCTGGTAGGTATAAAAATAGGGTAGGCAAGAAAAGGGTTTGCTTCAGCCTATTCGTTTTTTGGTAAATTGTGGGATTGTTGATTGTTTTTTTTTTTATTGTTGTTAATGTGGAAAATTTGCCAAAATAAAGAGATTGATTGATTGATTGATTGATTGATTGATTGATTGATTGATTGATTGATTGATTGATTGATTGATTGATTATGGCAGCTTTGTCTCTGTTTGCATAATAAACACATAAGAAACAATGGCGTGTCTTATATCTACAAAAAAAAAATCTTGAAAACTTTGAAGAAAATGTTTTGTGAACAGGCTAAGAAAAGGAAAGTTTTAGAAAAATGTGCATTCTGCTTCATCTGCCATTAAACTAACATTTTCTGCACAAGATAACCACAAAGACAGCCAGAAATGGTGGAGTTAATGTGGAGGTCTCGGACTACTATGCTGCTTCAGGACCTGTACAACTTCTTAGAATTGATGAGAGCATAAATTCTGCTTCCTAGGAAAAAAAATCCTGGGGGGGTGGGGGGTGTCTACCCATCAGTTTTGTGACCTTAAGTTCAAGTGCTCTTAGGTTATACAACAGGGCAGTGATTTAATGCACATATTCTTTTCTGTAGCTGAATGATTAAATGTCACTGTTCAGTAACACTTGATGGTTGTTAATATCTCTGTTGGTGGAACAACCAGTTACTGGATTAAGGGTCAATTAGTTTTCACAAAATGACAGGTAAGTTTGGATAGTTTTTCACAATGATTTAAATCTTCCTTTGAAGAAAAATACTGACAAAAGACATTTAAATCTGACAAACAAGAGAATTCCATAAGAGAGAACTTTATCATCACACAGTAAATAAGAAGAGATATAAATAGTTACTCTACAAAGCAGCAATCCTTCAATCCCATTAATGTGTCGCCTTCCCCCGACAGTGCTTCTTTATAAACCTAGATGTTATTACTTGGGGAATTTTCCACAAGAATGTGTTTAGTTAGCTGCAGGAAGTGCTCTCTTGTCCTAACTCTCGTGTTTTTGTGTTTGACACATTAAGAAGTGCACACTGTCAGAAAGACACCTCTTAGACTTATTGATCAGGTTAAATCCCTCAAATATAAAGCACCTAATGAAGCTGAAAACACAGGGGCTTACTTGGAAATGATCAAGGAAATCCTCTTTGTTCTAGATTTATAATCCACTGAGTGCTATTTACTGATCCTGTCTTTAAAGTTGAAGATTTCAAATAGAAATAAAAAATACTTATAAGGGCACATTTTTTTCTATTCTAATACATGCAATTTAAAACGTGCATGTATTTTATAAAAATAATTTAATGATGCATTTAAAACGGAGGTACTTTTTTTTTACAAACAGTGATGAGAGGCCTTTGACTATTCCTCTCGAACAATCTCTTTCGGACAATGTCTGTACAAATGACTAGGTAAACAATGGATTCTGGATTGGAGATAATGTTTTTTTTTGTGTGTATTGATTTACTTTTCACTTTCCCTATTATTCCATAACTATGTTTAGATTTAGGTTCTCATTCAGCCTAGATTATCACAGTTCGGGGGTTTTAAAGCTTCAAATAACTGCTTAGATATGATCAAATTTGAGCAAGTCACAACTTTTTTACCTGTTTTTCTTGACTTAAAGCTCTAGACACATCCTCCTTACCTGTTCTCATGCTTTCCTATTTTAAAGAAGGCCTAATAAAATGTTCTGTCTTTGTCTTTATACCTCAAAAAAGAGGAAGTTATGTCCTCTTGTAAGAAAGAGTTTCTAAAAATGTGCTAAATTTGGTCAAACAATTAAGACCTTGTTTTGATGTTAAAAGCAATTCATTCTCAACAAGGGTTTTTTCCCCCCCATATTGAATAAATGTATTTAAAACCAAAGATTTGGTTCTTAATTTGTTTTGCACTATTATGCTGCTGTAATTTACAATTATTTTATTATAAAGGGGTTTTATGAATCCCAGTCATAAGTACCAATATTTGCGAGGTCTCCAGGAGAGCTTCAGTGTATTCAGTTAAAAATAGTGATAGGGAATAACGCACTTTTCAATGCTCTTCTAATGATACTTTGACTACATATCATTGTTGAACTTTGGTTCTTTTATCAGGCAGATTGAATCCAACAGTTCTGTTGTGTCATGATTCTGTAAAGTAATGGAGAAACTAGAAACAAACAAACAAAATGCCAAATTCATAAATGTTACGGCCATCATGTTCAATTTTATTTCTTTTGTTTCATTTTCTTTGAATACTTACATACTACGGTAATAATACTATTACCATCAATTATCTTGGTAATATTCCCTTTAGTCCCAAAATTATTCCCTGCAAGGACTCTTGTCCTAAACCATTAATTAAAGTTTTAATTTCTCAGCTTTTAAATTATTTTCAGCATTAATATTTATTCAGTCTAATACCTCCATGCTTGTTGCAAATCAATTCTCATATTATCCCTAAAGCAAAACAATAACAAAACAATAAAAAAATCACAGCCAGTGCAAAATGCATACATTTTACAGGGTCATCAATGTGACATGAAGTCAATACCTTGTTTCTAGACATCAGATCAATGTCAATTTGATATGAAATTTTGAACTGTAGCGTTTTGATGTCAAATATACTGAATAACAATGTACTGTATGATGTAGTAATTAGGTGTGAGACTGATTCTTTGGATGGGCCTTTTTACAACCATAAGGAGGAAGTTTTTGTAGATTATTTTCCGTATCATGGAAGTCAAGATCTTTAACATCAAATTGTTCTTAACAGTAATGATTGGGTGATATTCCAAGGATCAGTTTTAGCTTTTTTCTCCTCAGACATGTCTGAAGAGTTTCGAGCCCTATCAAAACCAATTCTGATCATTGAGTATGCAGTAGTATGTGTTTCACTGAAAGATGGCTTCATGGTCATATCCCTGATGCCAGCTTCTCTCTGCAGGGCAAATGCAAGACAAAAAAGAAGTATTTATGTATAAAAAAAATAATAATAATTAGGAAATTGGGGCAGTTTTTTTTAACAATATATTGTACCTAGAGATGCAATGAAAGACTATTGTGACGTGTATGCTATTCAAAATGAAATGGTACAAGGTCAGCCAGAAGTGACATCAAATGAGAAACCTAGAATGTTTGAATGTCAATAATAAACAGCTTAATAAGACAGCTATCGAGCTATGTTAGTGCTATAAATGTGGGGCCATACAGTTTGTAAATAAAAAACAACATAAAAACTAAAACGTTTTTTCAAAAAAAAAAAAAACATTCAAACCTGAGAAAAATAATAAATCAACCTGGAAAAAAAAAGTAATATTCTATTTTTTCAAATTTTTTTTCGAACCTGCAGGTTTTTTTTTACTGCAATCATGACACAGCAGTTTTAGCTCCTCAAGTTCCCTTCTGTCGCAGTAAGGGAATTGGAGACCTAAAATATAATATATATAATATAAATATAAATATTCTATGAGTATGTAATTCATTTCGAAAAATATTGGTTTTGAAAGATAACACGCTTCACTGATAGAAGCAGCCTACATGAATGCATGACGTGAATCTAAGAGGGAAAAAATATGATGATGATATAGAGATTTCCATAAAATCTTTATTGGTTACTGTTGTTAAAACAAAATACTAATAAACTTATCTATCTATTTCAAGTTTAAAAAAATATATATTTTATACTGGTCCATATAAAACAAAAGCAAAAAACTCATGAATAAATAAGGAAAATAGTGCAGTGGAGACATTTCAAGCATTTTCAAGCAAAATGGAAGACAGAGAAAAATAATGTTAAAATAGAATGAAGTAAGGAATGCTGTAGATGCTTGTGGGTAATTTTAGAAAAAATGTTTTAATTAAGTCCCTGAAAGGAGTGTTAAATCATTCATCATACTTCCTCCTCATGTACCTTCCAGAGTTGACCTCTCCCCCACTCTACACTATTCCCAGCACATCCAGGTTTAGCTTCCAGAGCTTGACCCAGCCACCATCAGCCTTTGTCCAGGTCAGGTTTCATCTGGCTCCGATCTACTCTATCCTCCTCCAACCTGGCCCTGTATTTGTTACCCTGTGAGAAAAATATCCAAGAAATATGCAGCATTTTGGGGACATACAAGTACCTGTGGGGATCAACGACTGGTTCCTATGAGGAGTTCTCTTCTTGGGATGGGGGTTAAGTTTAGGACTAAGGTGTCAATTGAGTTAATGTTAGGTATAGGGTTAGGTACTGTATATATTGGTAATGTTTAGGGTAATGGACAGTTAGGCCATATAAATGATTGCAATATGATTGGCAATCAATGGAAAGAAACACAAGGATAGTGTGACACTTTGTGTGTGTTGGCAGGCATTTCCTAGAGTGTGAGGGACCATTTTCCATAAATCATAGCACATCATGGGGACCAGTACATTATTATATATTTCACTTCTTATATGTTTAAGTGATTATATTATGTGCATCATGCATGCAGTCATAGTTTTAGCTTAGCACTTAGGCTGGTTTTAAACTTAGAATCCTACATTTGTGAAACATAATAGTCTTTGTTTAGTTCCTAGGTTTCCTATTTGTATTGCATTGATTTGGAAAGCAACATTTCTCACATGTAGTTGCCCCCATTTTAACTCCCCTGTTTCTTTCCAAGTCTCCATTCCTCAACAGTGGGGTCATGGTGCTTTAAGCAAAAGTCAACCAATATAAATGTGAGAGACAACAGACCCTTGGCTCCCTGCACTCACATCCTCGCCTTATATTTGGACAGGACTATGACATCATAAGGCAAAATGCCTGGTTTCCGTGCTGAACTTGTCTACCCTTTCAGTTTACCTTAATTTCCTACTCCACAGGCAGCAGCTGTTCTCGGTCTGTTTTTGAATGAAACCCAGGATTTCCGGTATTTCCTTTTAGACTGATGGTGACCATATGCTTGGACAATTACCAAAGCAATAAAAGTCGCAGGGTTTCTATTTATTTTCTTGAGATATAGCGTCAGTCTGCACTAAAATGATTAGGCAGATCAGGTGCTAAAAGAATACCTCACCACAGTACATTATGTAGGAGGCCTGAAAAAACAAAGGTGTCTGTCCTGCAGTCAATGCTTAACTCATCATCGGTTCAACAGTAAGGCATACTATATGTAGTTGAAGCTGCTCGCCTTACAGCTGCTCACATCGACAAGGTCACATGGACAAGCAAAATATCTCCTGGAGAAATTTTATTATGGATAGGATCAGGGAATGAGCTAGTATGGAAAATTTACTTTTAGAGGCAACATTATCATGGAGCCAAACTTATGTACTATCTAGCTGAGTTAACTTTGACATAAGTAATTGGAATAACTGGCCAATCAGAACATATTTATATCAGACTTAGACTTAGAATCTTTGTAATTTTGTATACACATAGTGCATTCAAAACAAAATTTTGTTTTGTAAGGCTTTCAAGACAGTAAATGACCAGCAGCTTAGCAGTGAAATGAACATTTACATTCCATGAAGTGCAGCACTAATCACATGTTAACAGTGTTGGAGAAAAAAAACTTGAGCAAAAAAAAAAACGCATTGGTATGGAAGTTCAGAGCATTAAATATATATGGTGCAATTTTGCAATGTTTTGGTTTGGTGTTGTCAGTGTGATGCAGAGTCTGTGACATGATTCAGAGTTTTCTCAAGAGTTCAGCTGTCTGATGGCGGTGGGGAAGAAGCTGTTTTGGAATCTGTGGAATCTTAATACTTGTGTCAGGAAACCATGCGTGTTAGAATATTCTGATCAGATTAGTTAGGATCAAAATTAGATTTCAATCCCTACTACAAGTACTGGTTTACGCCTAGTGAAAATCTGATCAGCATGCATCTAAACGCTTGAAAGACAAGCTGACCTGGGTCAGCATGTGTTACCTGCATCAATGCGACATATTTGCTCACTGAGTGACAAAACGCTAGTTAGTTATCAGTATATTTTGATTAGCATATTTACTTGACACATTTGTAGTCTGATCAGTTGTTTCATTCCGGTTTATTATATCCACATAAACAGTACAATTGGATCAGTAAAGGAAAAAGACTGCAAAAGCTCAATTTCTTTGTCTGCCGAAACCTTCTTCCTGTCTTTTATCAACCTTGAGTATAGAAGTATATAAAGACCATCTTAAACCCTTGAATTTTTACTGGCATGAATTTTGTATGCTACTCTCTATGTTACAATGCAACAAGCAGCTTCAGCATTAGACTTTTCACCTGCATTTCATTGTGAGCGGAGGACCTCTGCAAGCTCTCGCTGTTAGACAGCTCTAAATTTATCTGCAGGCTGTCAGTGGAATCAATAAATATAAAATCAGAGAAAATTTGGAAGTTCAGTAGTGAAAGGAAGCTCTGCCAATTGCAATAATTTCTTGGAGTTCGAAGCATTGCTTTTCGTAAGTTTCATGATTATTTTTAGATGAAATATGAATATGTTATCATGCGTATCTGAGAAGTAGAAGAATATTCAAATATACAGAAAAGGAGAAAGATTGTCAACCTTTTTTTAGATACGGTAAGTATTTTTTTATTTTGATTATCTATCAATTTAGACAGTCACTGGTTCTAAAATTTAACCTTTAAACCTCACTATATGTATGTCGACTTTAATAAATCAAAATCAGTTCAGTGTGTCTGTGTAGTTTAGTTTAAATTTTCATTGTGATCTGCAACTGCAAGTGTAGTGTGAAGTTTTGAAAAGAAAAAAATCTGTAGCGCTAAATATCTGAACACATGGAATGTGGTGTCAAAGCAGTTAATTTTTGGGGAATGTTTAACCCTTTCCCCAGGTAAGGGTTAAAGTACAGGGAATTTAATGGTAAATTACCTGTACTTATACAGCACTTTTTGAAGTTAGAAACTGGACCATAGTGCCTTACACAACATTCAGTCTTTCACCCATTCACACACACTGATGGTGGCAATCTAAATTGCAGCCACAGCTGCCCTTGCGCTCACTGACAGAAGCAAGGCTGCTGTAAACAGGTGCCACACAACTGCATTGAAAGGTTACAGTTTTCATTCATTCAAGCCTCAGAGCTGCAAGGATACAAGGTGTCTAAGATAAAGGAATTTTTTATCCTATTATGGAGTGTTTGGGATAAAAATAGCTGTCCTCATAACAAGCTAGACTGTTTTTTAGGGTATTACACTTTTAGGTTTCCTCTAACTGTCTGCAATTGTTTTGATTGTATGTCAACTGGATGTTGCCTTTCTGCAAGGTTTAAGTTAGTGAGAGGAATTTTTGTCAAACCAGAACAGGATAAAGCATTGAGCTTTTAGGGCTGCTATGATTGTTTTGTTCTCTCTTTGCAAAGATGTTTAAGCCCCTGTTACACCTTGACGATTTTGCCAGCATACCTGATGTTGCAGAATCTTTTAAAATGCTGGCATACGCTGAACTTTCAATTGTTTTTATTTCAATTTTGAGCATATACATAGAGTATTCATTAGGAGTCCAGAACTTATGTCCAACGAGCCTAATTTATGCGTAACGCACGGATGTGTAATGCCAATGAAAAGTCACAAGCCAGTGTCCCGAGGGGAGCAGCAATGCGCCCGGAGGTGCCTGATCTGCATAAAAAATATTATTTTATCACGGTATTAACCTAGCTGCTGTTTTCCGCCTGCCAAAGAAAAAAAAAGAAAAGAAGAATAAATCAATCAATAAGAAGGTTTGCAGTCGCAGGAGATACAGAATCATCTCTGCAACAGCAGGAAGTTCTTTGGTCCTGGTAGTGGGCGTGAACGTAGGGAGGAACGCTATGATGGGGATTAACTTTGGAGTAGAACTGACAGTACTGACGTACTTGCCGTAAGTTGACGCGCTTCAATGTATGCCAGCATGCTTCAGTGAACTCATAACTTATATGAAACTAACCCATAATATATCAACACATGCCAGCGTTTTTGACAGATTTTTTGTATGTCAGGCATACGCTGGCTGCATCATCAAGGTTTGACAGGGGCTTTAATAAAATACTGACTGAGTGAACTACCATCCACCTCCTTAACTTGCTTGAATTGCTGAATACCTTATTCCCACAACAACATAGACACAGAAGACAAAACCGGAAAGAACAAGGCTACGAGGAGATACACTTCATTTTTGGTAAAAATTCTCTACACAGGGAAAGTTAACCATCTGACAACTTGCTTCTGGCTCCCAGTCCTTATAAAGTTTCTCTAATAATTTGTATATGGAGAACACCTGTAGAGCCACACTTGCCCAATCTCTCACCGGCATAGGAGGAACACAGAAACACATAGCCTAGTGGATATGACATGAGGCAACTGGATTATGCTGACTACCAACACCTGGCAAGACTGATAAAGTGTCTTGCCCATGACCACAACAAATTAAACTGTTGATGGGGTGATGATTTAAGCTTGCAATACAACAGTTACAGGAGAATCCGCTACCTCGTTAGATTTTAATTTAATTCTGACTGTTATACTTTGTTTGTTTTGCATTCAAATCAAATTACTTTTAAGACTCGTAGGACACATCAAGTTGGTCTTGAATTGTAATCAAAAATGTATTGAGCCACATCCCCAGATACCTCCTCCAACTCTGCTGCAAGAAGCCTGAGGCATTTCCAGGGCAGCCAAGAGACATGGTTCCTCGAGAGAGTCCTGAGTCACCCTCTCTGCCTCAATCTACGTCTGGGGAAGTTTTGAAAAAGAGGTTTGAGCCACTTTAGCAGATTTTTTGAGCTTCTACCAGGGATCACAATCTATTGGTGATGATCCATTTTGGTATGAGAAACATCTCAGAGCTCACCTCCTTAATTGTTTCTTTCCTAGCCAGAGCTACCAATGGAACTAGTTTACAACTACCTTCTCTAACATACAACATATCAGTGATTTTATGTTCCTTTCGTCTGTATATCTGCCACTGTCACAATAACCCCCCACTTGGCGTCAGCAGAAGGCTGCTCCTACTGAGCCTGGTTCTGTTAGAGATTTCTTCCTATTAAATGGTTTTAGTGTTTTTCTTCTCTTTTGGTATGGCATGCATGCATGTTGTGAGCGACCACTGTAGAGTCAAGTTATCTGTTATTATCTTTTATTTTATCGTCCTTTATTTTATGTTGGAACGTTTTTTATTTATATTTTCAATGTTGATGCACAGACAGGAGACACTTTTTGACTGTATCTTGTACTGCTTACAATAAAGATATTATATTATATTATAAAGTTACTTTGTCCCTTTAAATCAACAATGGTGATTTATGAAATTAAATAAATAAATTAACAATGTCAGTGTCATCTCAATTCAAGGTCCCTTTTTGCTCATATAGGAGTTCACTCTGACATAGTAGTTTACTCTTTGGCATATCTCATGTAAAGGTTGTGAATTTAATGTGCCGTACATCCTTTTTGGCAAACCACTGCTCAGATTTCTATTTCACCAAGCTATTTTTTTGTTCATACTATATATCTCCAGGCTCTCAGATAGTGCATACGGAGGAGGAATTACTCAAAACATCTTTAAAATCAAATCCTGTTAAAGCACAGAAAACGAGAAGACACTAATCCATCCTACACATGTTTTCCACTGACTCTTTGCCCAGCTTTCTGTAAGACACTGTCTACAGTAGGGCTAAGAATTGCTCTCCCACTTAATCTCATAACTGGAAATTAATCATAATTTAGCACTGAAACCATGGGGCTTTAACAATGTTGCAATAAAAGTCATAAAAAGGGCATCATTGAGTTTTGCATTTATGAACTATAGTGCTCTTCTGCACTCAGTTTATCTTAGACGGCAAGCTAAACACATATGGTTCCAGGAATAAAGAGACACGAGGCTTATTCTCTGTCTTTCCTGAAAACCATGTTTAAAATTGTGAAACTGTAAACATACTAAAAAAGGAAAATACATAAATGCTCTTGCATAACTTAAAATAATATGTCACACAAGTGATATCAGTTGTACAGAATCAGCTTCAGCATGGACCTAGCATTCAAAGGCTAAAAACATTATTTCATTCCACACAGCAAACATAATTTAAAAAAGCACAAAAGTTTCTAAAATGTATGGGAAACATAAAATTGATGTGATGTTTTGAGATGAAGCACAGCGTCAAGGCATGTGTCGACTAATGGAGGGTTGGTTGACCAGATGTCCTCTTTTTCCTGGACCTGTCCTACTTTTCAGACCTAAAAAAATGTCCAGGGGGATTTCAAAATCGTCCAGGATTTTGGTTGACTACAGTTCAGCATGTAGTCGAAACACACCGGGCACTGGTACCGAGCCGTCAGCTCCGGGGCCAGTCCCCCAGCGGACGGTGGCAGGGAGCCTGCCTTACTCGTCCCTAGCCTCACTCCTCTAGCTGAGGACAGGCGGCTCATGGCTCTCAGCAGAGGTCCCGTCCAGTCGGTGGCCCTGCAGTCACTCCCCATCCCCCCAAAAAGAGGGTCCTCCTTTTAAGAAACCCAAATCTGGTTACTCCAATGTAGGGGGTGTTTGTGTGAGGCTTGCTTCATTTAGGGGAGTGCCAAAATCCATCATGTCCGAAGTCTCCCTACCACCATACCACGCAATGTGACCACTTCAGGGAGAGGTACAACTTGGCCGCGAACTTCAACAGGCATTCAGACAGCCTCAAAATCAAGTTAGGATCTGGGAGTTTTTGTAGGAGAGTTGCAGTCATTTGGATAGAGTTTGGATATATTTTAAGAATAGATTGGTTGGAAAAAATAACCAATCTAGATTGCTAAAACTATTTTGGTTAGATTAAACAATATAATGATCAGAATCTAAGCAGGCCACTGGTTTTAGTTTGAATATTAGTATTTACTACTATTGCTTTCTGATTAGATACTATTGCAATTGATGTCATCTGTAAGATTTTGCCTTTGAATCTAGAGGTTTTTTTATTCCAAACCTGGCTTTGACTTTCGATAGTTGCTATGTTACCAGTATTTTGGCCAATGTGACAAGCTTGTATTGGTTTGCCCTTTTACCAATATAGACTGGGTAAAAACACTGCCAAATTACATTGGTTGGTTTAATCAAAATATTGGTTGGACACATAACTTCCAACCAGATTAAAACCAAAAACTGTGCAAAAACTATTCTTTTTCCAATAAAAATGACTAACACCTTTCATTTTGCTCAATTTTGTCCAATTTGCACAAGCACTTTTACTGTTTGCTTGAGCGTATGTCACTAAAATGACAGAAAAATAGTTTACCTTAAAATATTGTTCCCTTCTAAGACTTTTTACACACACAAAAAAAAACTTGCAATAGATTTTATTATACACACCAATCATTAACAATTTCAAAGGAACTTAAATTGAAAAAAAGAAAGAAAAACAATTGCAAAAAAAAAAAAAAAAAAAAAAAAAAAAACACAGATTATATTAATAACTGTAGTTATGCACTTCACCAGTAGGTGTTGACATGTTCACATGAAGCTTCATGAGCTGTGGGGATTGTTTAAGCAGTTTGGAAATGATGATTTTTATTTATTATGGATAAAAAGCCAGCTAAATCAGCCTGAGTCTATTTAGATAAAGTAATCGCATGCCCAAACGGTTCAATGCCTCATGAGGCTTCGTCTCACCATCACTAAAATTACACTTCGCTGTGATGAAATATCTTAACGATTATGATCTGCTAAGAGTCAAAATGATGAAAAATAATAATTGGAGAGTCGGATCAACGCGTTTACACCTCCAGAGCTGAATCATAGAGAAAACTGCCAGTCGCTTAGCTGCTGATTACTACTATTGGCCGCTAGAGGGCACTGTTTTACACAAACTTCACCGACAACAAACACTATACAAAAGACAACAGCTACCTCTGATGAAGAATAGTAGAACCAGTTTTACCAGAAACAAGCTTTTAGCAAAAATTGTATTTTACTTATAACGATCGACAGAATAAGTGCATTTAAGTAAATGTATAAAATAATTTAATTGTAATGGAAAACAACAAAAATTAACAAAAAGTATTTACGTTTTTTTCACAAAAGCATTTAATTTTGGGTATAGAAGCCTAACTCCAGGAAGAGTAATACTTTATCTCTCAGTCTTACCAGGTATCTCCGAACAGCTGCTTTGAAACTGCAGTCAAGCAACATATGGTTCAGAAGGACTCCCAGAGGTCCTTACCTTGATGGCTGCACCTCTCAGTAAAAACACAAGGGTAAACTATGCCAAATCCCTATGGTATCATTTAAGGCTGACCTCATCGTAAGTATTCAGTGACTCAGCAATATTAAAGTACACAATTGTCCTCTCATGGGATAAAGCTACGCTGGATATGAGAAATGCAAGCAAATCCATCTCCTGCACATTAAGGTAATTGATTCTGCCAGAAAAGCTATAGTTTATACTGTATGGGACTATACTGATGGCTGTTGAATTACTAGCTGAGAAGGATTGTTTGTAAGGACTTTCAGCAAGCATATATCAGTATATATGCAGTAGCATATATAATTATTTATTAAAAGGTGGCAAAAAAGGTATTTGTTTCTCAACAAATTTTTCTGGTTTTGATCTTTTCACATGCTTAAATGTTTTATATATTTAAAATAATGTAATATGATTTAAAGATAAACAGAGTAAAAAGAAATGGAAATTATGATTTTATTTATTATGGATAAAAAGCTAGCTAAATCAGCCTCAGTCTATGTAGATAAAGTAATTGCAAGCTTAATCCAGTTTGTGTTTTTTGCCAGCAATGCTTGTGTTTGAAATAATTAGTGTAACTGCTCAGTAGAAAATATTTAGTTTGACTAAATTATAGGTTTTCAAGTTTGTTTGAAGGTTATGCCACAACATGTCAACAAGGTTTAAATGCAGTTTTTTTCGGTAATTAACTACAAACCCATGTAATTTTGTTTCTTTTGGGCCCTTGAGAGGTAAAGTTGCTGGTGTCTTTAGGATCAACATACAACTGTATACTGAAGATATGTTTGGGAAATGATAAAATGTATTTAATGGGCATAATTAATTTTTGTTCAATCAATTATTTAATTTGATACGTGTTTTAAAAAAGTCATTTTTAAGATACCACACTTAACTGAGTTTTTTTTTTTTCCTCTTTTCACCTTACATGGAGTTTCCATGGGTGCCTGAGTTGAGCGTCTCCGTATCCGCAAAATCCATCTTGAAAATAATGCTTTAATTGTTTGCTTGATTAGACTAATTTTATATGGATGCAACTGACATCACATCTGTAGAACAGCGCAGGAACTTTTGGGCAAAAGTAAATTCAGGAAAATAAGCTACAGGCTTCTAGATGCATCGGCAGTGAGCTCCTGAGGTGTCAGCTTGATCATCAATTAATGTTAGGTCATAAAGATCAAGTAAAAAGGCTATTTTGAATATATTTTCAAGTAAAAACTTACAAAATCTATCCTTAATATATCAATATGTGCTAAAATTCTATGTTTTAGGAGAATAAGGTTCTTGATGTATAAATGTGTCCCAAATGCCAAGCAGGCATGGGAGCCTGCAGAACACTTCAAGGACAGGCCATATTCACTGATGCTGTAACACTGCTTACTACATGATATTTTACTAAAAGATGAAATTGTAAAAAAAAAGATTAAAACTGCTCAAAAAGTACAGGTTATTTTAAAGAGTCTTTTGGGATCTTGTCTTCAGTGTCTGTGTGCAGCAGACCTGTTTTTATGGTCATCCCTTTTGATGTGGGCCAGTCACTGAAAATCTCCTGGTTCGCTTTCATGCCACAGTCTACACTTTTAGAAGACTGGTGATATTTTCCAGTATGGTACACCTAGCACGGCTCTGCAGAAGCTATTTTTGCACCCAGAGGTGACAAAACATCACGAATAAAAAGCCCTCATTGATGAGGTACCTGTCGCACGTTTATTACTTTTATATCAATCCGTACTCGCATTCCGCTCAGTTGCAGCTCTCTCTCGACTGCTTACATCCACATAGCATCGCCAAAGTGTGGATACCATGGAATGAGTCTCAACTACTTTTCATTATAAATTCCTGCTCCTTTGTCCATTCAGAGTTAAACTAAATTTCTGTCAATATATAACTTAGCAGCACTGTGATCCTTGTTTACTTTTTTGAAGAAAAAGTCTGGTCAGCAAGGAATAATCAATGGATCATTATCTATAATTAAAACTTATACACTCACAATGATTTAATTAATTTAGTGTAAATCAGTAAAAAAAAATTTGACTAAAAATTTTCGTTGTGAAAACTGAGTCTGGGACCAGTCCTTTTTGCCCAAATATAGTAACACCTCACTCCTGACATCTTCTGGCAGTGACGTCATGTTGCGGTAAGCCTGGCGCAAAATCAACTACAAGACACCCCTATTTTAGATTTTAGATTATTATTTTAGATTTCCAGAAAAGTTTACCATTGAAAATCGCTAGAGCTATAGTTAAATTGACAGTCCCCAAGTGCATGGCAGTTGGATGGTGTAATACAATGGGTAAAAAAAAATTGTCATTTCACCTTTCAGATTCATGATCCCCCATGGACGAGTTTGTCGTTGTATAACTGGAAGAGGGAAGATTTGCCACTGAACTTCTGCCAGAGATAAAACACATAATATGTAGCCAACATTTCGAAGAAGAATGTTTTCACGAGGACTTGGGTAATAGCATGTTGTGACAAACACCAGATACAGCATTGGGACTTGATCAACAGCCGATACCACACCGTGACATCACAAACCAATAGCTGTAGTGTTGTTTGACAAACATGGATGTCTCCGGTAAAGCACATGAAATGAAAGTTACTCTTATTTAAAAACACTTATTTATTTAACAGCATGTAATAATTTCATATATAAAGTACTTTCAGCAGTTTGAATTCTGAATATGACCAGACTTTTACAGCATAAATGGAAAAAATTAAATCTGCTCTTAAAGCCCCATGCGTCATGAAGGAGGACAAATAGACGGACAGTGCAATGAAAATCCAAACTGTCCGTCCCAAAGCTGGACATCTGGCCACCCTAAGACCTCCTGCACAAAGACAGAAGGATAGATTTTCTTTATATATAATCAGCAGCTATAGTTGACTGATATATATTTTAGTTCTATGCTTTATGCTCTATTTTATCTAGTAATTAGATGCATATTAAATCTAAATGGCTACTGATGTTGTAAATGTGCTGGATCTGTGGTTATAGAGTAATGGTCTCATGTTGTCTTAACTGGGCTTCTTGTTTAATTGATCTCTGTATTCATGCTCACACTAATTTTCACTAAGTGAACAGGAACCATTGACAGGCTCTTGTTTATGTAACAACTAGTCCCTAACAGTGTATGTTTTCATATACAGTATACAGTGATATATAAATTTCGACGTCAAGGGCTTAAGAAGTAGTAAAAAGTTTAGGCCTAGGTAACAGATGCAAAGAAGTGCACAAAACTAATGGAAATTTTTTATCTCCATGGTTGAATCTGTACTGGCCTT